AAGCATACTTCCGAGAGCATACATATATATATATATATATAATATATATATATATTATATATATTATATATATATGATACGTATATACATATACATGTACATATATATATATATGATACGTATATAGTAGTACATATATATATATATATACACACACAAATATATAATTTGGCAATTTGAGTAAGTTTTACCAACTTTATTTCTTTCGTGGACGTTGTAACTCTCAGTGTTAGTATATTATATTAAAATGAAGAATGTAGTTGCTCACAAATACACTTTTATGTTTTACTCAAAGATCATGAAAATGCTGCGTAAATGAATCCGTGATAAAAGAAAATACGAAATCAGTAATATATCTTATCTGTGGTAAAAGTGGATAAAGGTAATGAAGAAAACTATAAAGAAGTAATGTAATCGTTGGGGCATTCTCAAGCGTGTGAGTACATCACTATGTTGTTGATAGTACTGAATAGAACTTCGTAAAACTGAATGCCTGATTTATTCGTATTTTTAAATGCCGATTATTAATGCAAGTAGGTGCATTTCAATTGCCTTAAAATATTCGTGTATAATCAAAGTAAGATTTGTTTATCTATCATGCACCAATCGGTGAAAGAAATATGTATTACAAAACTTTGAAAGAGGAGAACGGTATTCGTGAAAAAGAAAAAAAACAATTCTTGATAAACAAAATTTTATAAATTTTTAATATTATTCCGATTCTACCAGTTATAAGTCTTTCTTTTTATTTTACATAAAATTTAAAGTATACATAGATGCAATACTGTTTAAGTTACAGAAATATATAAAATTTAAAATTAAATATTTTTTTTTCATTATGTATTAAGAATAATAATAAATTAAAGATATATTTTAAATGAGATATGTAATAATTTGTTTATAATAAAAAGATTTGGTTTTTTTCTTTCCACGAACATTGTTTATTCCTGAAAATTTATTGATGACGATAAGATCAGTATGCGCGAATGTATAAAGAAGAATGAAGAAACGAATTGCTTTAATAAATTGAAAAAATGTGTCATCTTTGATTTTTGTGGCATCTATTTTTGTACTTCTTTCAAATTACACTTACGAATGCCTTAACGTTCCGTAATTAAATGCAGCATCTTCATCAGAAGTGATTAAATTCATAAATAATGATAATAATAATAAGTAACATCGATAAGTGGCGTTTTGATACAGAATATTTTTGTGTTTTCCGAAAGGGACAGAAAACCACTTATTGTTTCAGAAAAAATATATCTATTGGTTAGCAATCTTTAAGTGAGTGAAATGGTGTACGGAAGAGAGAACGAAAGAATATACGAGCGAAAGGTAGTACGAACAGAAACAAGTTTTATTAATTGATAATTATAATATGATTAATTATTGTATTAAGTAAAGTAAAAATGCGATGTTAAGAACATTTGAATATATTATCGAAAGATGAATCATTAAAAAAAAAAAAAAAAAAAAAAAAAAAAAAAAAAAAAAAATGAAAGAAAAGAAAAATGGACAATTTTTTGAGGAAAAATTATTAAAAGCGATGATAATAATTAAATAAAAAAGAAAAAAAAAGAAAAAGAAAATTATGAAAGATCTATTTTAGAGACACACATATCTATTCGGTTTCTTTGTATCATTTTGTTTGTCGGAGAGAAAGTAAAATTTATCGTGATGGTTAATCGTCGTCATAATCATCGTATATAATTGCGGATCATCGTAATGGCGTTGGTCATTAATTTTAGACGTTATTTCGAAATAGTCGTGCAGTTGTAAAGAGCATTCAACTCTCCAACACACTGCGTGTCCGTGTTTCAAGAGGAGTGCAAATTGTGAGAAGAAAAGTGATATATATATACATAGGTATGAAGGATTAATTTTTCAGTTTTCAATGATCGATATATGTGTTATATTATGTCAGAAAAAAAGATTTTTTCTTTTTTTCTTTTTTTTTCTTTTTTTTTTCTTTTTTTTTCTTTTTTTTTTCTTTTTTTTTTTTTTTTCTTTTTTTAATGTTATTTAAAGTCATCAAAGAAGATACTAAAAATAGACTGAGTTGTTTGGTATTATTCATCGTTGCTTCTGGGATAAATATGCACCTTACACAAGCTTTTGCTTCAGAGCTTTCACAAGCGAATAACAAACCATTCCAACTGTTATAGAGATCAGATTACCGAACAACATTTGATCGATAAATATGAGACGATGTAGGAATGAGAGTGAGCGAACGAGCGACCGAGCGAGTAAGAGAGAGAGAAAGAGAGAGAAGAAATGAAAACATAAGCATCACAGAGAGACATATACAGTGTGACAGAGATAACATTATACAGTTTTAAATAGAAATACGCTACGTACACACACATATGATACATTCGTCGCATGACAAGATGGTCCAGAAAGCTGCATGCTTATTTAGAAGACTCCAATATAGATATTTGAGGATCAACTTGCATTGTGACAAATCGTATCGGTACATAACGTAGAAACATTAAGCATACATACGTTT